TTTGCTTATTTTCTTCGATCTCACCAACTTACATCACAACATCAAAATCACACATCTAATTATTTATCAATTACATAAACATTACATCATTAATTATTTAATTAACCAAAAAAATTACATCTTTATTAATAACAAATTAATTTTTAAACAAAACTATTAAATATAAACTACGCAAACGTGCATTGCACGTTACTTGCACCTAGTATAAATTAAATCATTTATAAAAATTTATTGACCTTTAAGTCAGTCAATTAGATTTAAAAACGTCTTATTACATTAATAACTAGTTAATGAATAATGAGATTTCTTTGTAGACAAACAAATCTCACTAGTTTTACTAGCACATTGAATGTATGGTATTAGTCCACGTTTCATCCCATTTTCTAAAATTAATTTTTTGTTAAACTCGTTTTCAATCACGCATTTTATAGGTTACACAATTTTTATCAATTTTTCAATCATACATTTCATAACTTTATAAGAATCAGATTTTAGCCTCCTAACTTTTATTTGAAATCCTTAATTTTTCAAATTTTCATCCAACACGATCCGTTCTTTTGAGTCGAGCATCTCTTGAAGCATATCAAATAAAGTTGGATCATGCTTACATTTTAAATAGGTATGTACAGTGTTTGATGATAGGTTAAATGTCATGTGGAATTAAATACTCATTTAGTTGTACTTATCATTTAATGTCATATTAACGTCACATAAATTGATGCTATAACCACGTTGAAGCTAAATAACATTATTTTTTTAAATATGCATATGAGTCTTTAACTTTTAGGAAGTAACTAATATGCTTGAAAATTTTTGTTTTACAGTTCATGTTTGGTTCAACTATAAAAGTGAATTGAGATTTAAATTAAAATCAACAATTAATTTTAATGACATATATTGTGTGACCAATAATTTCTCAAACACATATTCCATCATTTTTATCAAAATCTACTAAGAACTTAAATTTCATCTAAACCCAACGTGGGCTTAATAATCAAATGAGAATGATATTTCCCTCGAGTAAACCGGTGTCGAACAAATGAAAGTGGCTATAATATGGATGCTCTTCATTTTTAGCATTTGTTTGACAATTATTATTTAAAAACTCTTTAATTCTCATACTCATTTTCAGTCATGTATTCACATCATAAAATATTTTACACATAAATTAAAATTCTTTTCCTAATTTTTAATTGCACATTCTTCAAAAAATCACTATCTCAAAATATCATTTTTTGGAAATAATGATAGTCAAACATGGACTAAAGCAAGCAATGTTTTTATAGGCTAAGAGGGACCAATTATAATAGCAGTTGTTGGATCCTAAGAAAATTGAGATCTGGATTGAATAGCACTGGTTGATTGGTTATTTCAGACGGGGCATTTCGGATATGTGGGTCTTGTTGTGCTTATTACCAACTTTGTTTCGTCTACTGCGGTGGATGCGTGATTTCCTTGTGATTGTTGGTGGCTGTTGACCTTGATTATAGCGTTGGACAAACCTATACATGGTGCCTCGATTTTAGATCTTAATCACTAGTTTGTACGGGCAATGATTTGAGGCAAACAAGTACTAGAAGAAGATTGGGTGGTGGTGGTGGTGTGGGAGGGTTAATTCCCTAATTAGTCATCGAACTTTGCGTAAAGTTTTCAAGAGGTTACTTAATTTGTAAAATTTTCCGGTTAGTCACTGAAATTTACAAAATGTAATCATATCAATAACTAAGTGATAGATCTGATTACATTTTGTAAACTAATGAAAAAACTTCTGAAATTTAATGACCCCTAAGAACGTTAAGCAAAGTGACCAATCAGAGAATTAACGTTCGGTGACTACATTTTGTAAAGTATAATGATCAACGGAAAAACTTTTGAAGTTTACTAACATTTTGAGAACTTTACACAAAGTTCAATGACCAATCATGGAATTAATCCTGGTGCGGGATGGTAGTGCATCAACGACAGCGTTAATGATGGTACTAGAATTCGGAGGTGGAAGTGGCGATTAGATATTGAAAGCAAAGAGAGAGAATTACATGTTAATTTTTTGTATTTTGTGTTTGGAATGACAATAAAATTTATTAAAATGTTTTATATATACAATAAAAAAAGGCACTTTTAGAAAGTTTTATATTTATGTATGTAAAAATAAAAAACAGGTTTCATTTTAACTTTCTAAGAAAAAGAGGTACACAGTAATTTCCCCACGAAAAGATAAAATGGTGGCTTATGTCGCCATAAGCCTCAAAATCGTGGCCCAACACAATCTAACATTTTCCATCGTACCTTGTGATGTCAATCTAAATAGCTCGACCTATCTTAAGCCCTCTTCCTAAAAGATACACGGCTAAACTCAACCCCAATTTGAGTCTCATTTTTTTATAAATTTTTAAAAAATATATTTTTAAATAAACATTCTTTCAATAAAATAATTTTAAACGTAAACTAAAAAAAAAATTATTACTTTTTAAGTGTTAACTACACGCTCTCCAAAACTCATTTTACACAAAAATTATTTTTAAAAATGAAGCTCAAGAATCGTGTGACAGAAATAGTTGAATCATGTCTTCATTCTTAACCTTACAAATATAAACAATTCAAGCCCATGTCTTCATCCAATGAAAACGATAGCTCTTTATTATGTCGCCTATGCATTACTACTTTTACTGCCTTTCCCCCATCTAGTGTTTATTCTCAGAACCACCCCCCACTCCACCCCCGCCCCCAAATGAATAAACGTGTTAAAAACATCAACCATAGGATAAATCCAACGCCCATACCGGACAAAAATCTACAAAACCTAAAACCAGTAGCCACCACCCCCATCTCTGATCTCTCTCACACCTCAATATTCTCTAATTTTTCAAGAAAATGCCACTTTCCTTTAACCCCCAAGCTAGCCAGGGCCTTCCAGTTTGTCTTTCTGGGATCAATCTTCATACTTTCTCTTTCTCCAAGGAGTATTTTCCCTTTTCATTTCATGCTTTCCCCCCCCCCCCCCCACCCCCCCCACACACACAAACAAATCGCGCAAACACAGCTAATAGCCTAATTAATACTTTTTTTTTTTTTGGTGCAGAATGGCAGATCATGACAGAAGAAGGGAGGCCATAAAAAAGGTGAAATCTCAAGCTTTTCATGCAGATCAAGGAAGGACAAGGAATGGGAGAGTGAATAGAAATGGAAATGTTGCTTGCTTTTCTTTGGCTTGTTCAGCCAAGGCAGCATAATTTCACTGTATTATAATTAGCACTAGTTTTTTAGGTTTGATTAGTTTTATGGGCTTGTTTTAAATTTACTCCCTTTTGTAGATCTGTGTTTGATTTGATCTTTCTTCTTAAAATTTGACTGAAGATCTGCAGTATGATGAAGGCTTATTAATCGGTGTATGTATGCTTTCTTTAAGCCAACTCTTCTAGTCATTATTTTGAACACTCTGAAGAATACTTGCAGATATAATTGTGAAATAATCATCCATTACGAAGCTATTTTTGCAGGATTTTTTTGGACAGAATTCTTGCGGTTGCACGCAAAAAAAGAAAGAAAACTACCAATCAGGTGCTTGCTTTTTACGAGCTTATCTCACTAAGAACGGTGGCTTGACTTTTTGAAAGAAAAACTTCTTCACAGGGGGCCAGTCTAGCTTTAGGTTCGAAGGCTAACGAGGATTCGTATCTTTCGCGTTAACGTGACTGGTGTAAGCACTTTCTGTTGGGAATTTATTTATACATACACAATGAAATTTAAAATAATTTCAATTATCATCGAAGATCTTCTTTGTGCTTAGATGAAAATTGTTTTTTTTTTTTAAACAAATTTCGAACTCCAAGATTTTGGTCGTTACACTAGCAGCTTATTAATAGAAGTTTAAGTAGGTTTGATCCGTTCCTTAAACTTAACCTAGTCCAATATTTAATTAAAATGTGATTCATAAATTAATTATTTAACTTAGACCCATTAATAGACAAACCAATTAATTAATTATATAGATGTTCAATACTTCTCAATTAATTAATTAGTAATATCATTCTTCCAATTCTACTTATTATGTGTGACTCATTAAATTCCCGATCACGATATCTAACGACGTGAATTATTATTTTGATCTAATCAAAATAAGATAAATTAAAACGTCGTCAGGCATCTAGCAATAACACTCTTTTAATTTATCATTATTTTAATTAGATTATTGATTCACATTTGTAGTCCCATATTGACATTTAACAATGTATCAGAACAACACATGTGACGAAAAATATCATGTTGTATGATAAAATCAAACTTGTTATTTTATCATGAAATTATATTTTTTCATTTAATATGATTCAATCAATTACGAAATAGGGAAGTGTATCAATCTTGATTATCGATCATGTATTTCATCCAATTCTTAAGTTAATATAAGTCGAAACCTCTTTTCAACTCATGAGCACAATTTGGCAAAAAAATTCGTTATTAACTTAACTGAGTGAAACACAAATCATAATTTATTACTATCTAAGAGCAATGAATCTTTTATTGATCATTCACAATTTTCATATGATTTTTGACATACCCGAACGATATCGTATTAGCGACTCTCGACGGAGCAACATCAAATATCATCAAAGTATGATTGTCCTCATATAAGGTACTATGATAACCTTTAATCGAAGGACTGATTCCACTATTGAACGTTGGAGATTAACCACTGAAAGTTATCCATGTGGAATCTTTCCAGCGAGTTTCCAATGTTTGTTCTTTTAACAAAATATCCACGTATTCATTTAAGTGTCACCACACTTTAACTTGTGAGATCAGCTACTTACTTCACAAGTAAGAAATATCATACGTGATGATCTATTTAGAATAACAATATTCGTATTTCATTATTACAAATGAATTTAGATCTGATTATATGTAATTTGTGACTCGAAATGAAATTATTGTGATTAACAGATTACTAAAACTTAAATCTACAAACTCAATTTATTTAATTTAATAGAATATTAATTCAATTAAATAATAGATATGCCATAAATTAAATGCATTAATTAATCATATTAAAAGTATTTACGTCCAAAATCGATCGAGCCTAGGGAATAAGACTTACACTTCCTTCGTCAAATCCAATCCAGTGGGCTAAAAACGGAGAACTGTTAAAAACGAGAAATTATCAAATAAATTTCGTAGGTAATATGAAACGAAAGCGCCAACTCTGCCATTCGACGTTTCTCAAGATTGTTTTGAACGTACTCTTTTTTAAACAATTTTAAAGCTCGTGTTTATTAATTATTTATAAAAAAAAAATTACTTTTTATCCATATAATTTGAGATATCCACGTTCACCAACACATAGAGTCCTATTCCCAACAACCTAAATGAAAGTTATGCAGTTCGACCCTAACAATACTTAGAGGGAGGTGAATAGGTATATTATAACAAATTAACAACAAGAAGTCAGCAATTGTTATCTCTAAATTGTTAAACAATCACGTCAGATTAATCATATGTTTAAATATCGCAAATTGCATAAACAATAAATAAAGCAGTAAATCAACACACGGTATGATCACGGAGAAACCCAATTGAGAAAAGTTTCGGACACTTTGTCAATCAACAATCCACTATAAACGATTTGTAACTTACAGTCACTAGCCTAGACGACGACACATACTATTTGATCTCCTGACTGCAATTTCAACAATTTTTTATGGATTATGTGCTCTTGCACCAATCCTAGTTGCAGTTTTCAAAGTTCTCCTGATTTTTGCTCTCTTGTAATAACTCCTAACTTTGTGAAATCGTTTATCTTCCGTGGATCCACGAAAAACACCGCATTCTTCAACGACTGAAACTTCCAGTCAACTTCCCTCGATTTTCAACAACTTTGACAGTTGTGATGGAAAAAACAGTTTGGTATTTGGATTATGAAATCGATATTTTTTCTCACCAAAACAAACTCACAAGATAAATGTTGAAAGTAGGAATATGATTATCTTCTCTCAGATGAAGTTCTCTCAATGATCAACCTTGAAAAACACGCTCAAATGTATTTTGGAATTTATAGGTAGGTTAAAAAAGTAATGGACAAAAGAAAAAGACTTTAAATAGCGAAATAAAAATTTCCCGAACAACCCTGTCGCTCGAGCGAGAGCTCATTGACGGGCTATCACTCGAGCGAGAGCTCATCGATGAAGGTTCTATTTTTGACGCTCGAGCCAATCCATGGCGACAGTCTAGCGAAAATCTGCACCTTATTTTCGTTCTCTCGTCATACTCAAACCCTAGACCTAGCAAACTTATTTTCACATAACTGCACATAGTACCTTGACTTTTTATAATATTTACAATTAAGTCCCTTTTGTTTACGAAATCGTTAATAACACAATTAAAACCTAACACTAACCATTATGGGGACCCGATGAGGGTTGGTTAGATGGCAAGAAAGATGTTTATTTTTTTAAAAAAATAATAGCAATTTAGGTAAAAACATTAAAATTGGGAGTCTTTATAGAAACAAATTTCAAAGGGATATATCCAAAAGGAAAATATTTCTTACATATAACTATTTACATAATATTTTATATAATGGCAGTGAGTCAAAATGTAAGTAGAGAAGTTATTTTATTGATGAGAAATTGACCTAATTAAATTTCGACACATCATCTATTGGTAAACCATTATGTAAATTGTTATGTACATGTAGTACAATCCTTCTATGGATAAGAAGCCAATGAAAACTTAACAATGATAGTATATTTGGTACAAAGTACTAGATCCTATTGTATAATGTCCCAAACAAAATTTTGAAACTTTTTTTGGTCTTTAATCCTTTGCACCAGCTTTCATTTCAGCATACACTAGCATACCAATGGGAAATTAAGATCTTTATATCAAATCCGGATACTGCATTAAGATGACAAAATATACTTTTTTCATTGAACAATCTGGTAATCGAACTTGGGATTCACGGTTTGTTTGCCTTCGGTGCATGAAAAATTAAAGACCCAAATACATTGGAATATCCAGAGCAGTAACTTGAAGAATATTTAATAGCCCGACTTTCATATTAGTCAAACAGAATCATTCCTGTTTTACACTCAGAATCAATCAATTAAACATTCATCTCATACATGATGCATCAAGATTGAAAGACTATCTAAGCTAGTATCGACCCATCTATATAGATAACGAACTAACCCTCCTCTAGCTGATGTAGATATAGATTTCCAGCGGACAATCAACTGAATACACGAAAACTGAAGCTGATGCAGATTTCTAGTGGTGATCAACTGAATGCACGAAAATCTAAGCCGATGTCTGCGACACCTCTCCATTTCCTGGACTATCTATCATTTCTATATATATATATATATATATTTCAGATTTATACAAGGGTAGCTACTAGCAATCTTGCACTCCCAACATGACTCCATCTTTACTGACTTGAGTGTAAAGAAGCTGCAGCTGCAATGTAAAATTAGTTACAGAAACCAGTCATCTCTCATTCTCGATTATTTTCGGTACGATGTTTGAGGGTACGATGTTTGACTTAGATTAATTTTAGAAGGCAAATAAATAATTCTCACTAACAAAACTCTGTTTCAAAGTAACTTCTAAGCTTGGCCAAACATGCTTGTGCATTCTTCGGGTGAAGGTAACACGATACAGACTATCACAAAGACAGGCTCAAATTTTTATATCAAACAAAAAAATAGTTCACCAACAGAGAAGAAGCAATTTTTATTTTACTTTTTTATGTGGCTTGGGGCGGGGGGGTTTAAGAAACTAAATTGTCATCAGATTGTAGTTTACCTGAATTTCTTGAAGTGTCATAACTTAAAAATGAGTTATCCGGAGTAATGAAGTTAGAGTTGTTTTCTTCTCCACCCCAGACAGGTTGAAGTCCATCGAAATGCCACAACTGTTGACTTTGTTGGCTGTTCCCGTTGATTTGTCCCTCAGGCCAGACTGATGGTGTAAACATGCCCGGATGACTACTATCCATCAGGGATCCACTCTAGAAGGTTTGAAGAGTTCAAACAAGAACATTAAAACGTGAGAAGGAAAACAAATCAAATGGCTTGCACATATTTTCAATGGCAATTCTATAAATTAAAATGCATGTTGGGGATTCATGTCCATCTGGGAAGGTCCAGACATGTATTTATGTCGTGTCATTTCAAGTCATGTTATACACGTATCTGAAGTATCGCATACATAAATTAGCTAATTGTCGAGCAATTTAAAAGACCTCTTATGAACCCTCCATCCCACCGCAAAATAAGATTAAATGGAAATATGCCATTTTTAGAACATAACAAAAAAGATGCTTGGAATTATTAAACAAATTCGTAGTTCCATCTGAAATCAAGCCACAACTATTACAGTTCTGTTTTTTGATATGTTACCATTGCATAAATAACTAATAATAGAGCAGGCATTTGCAGGATGGATAGGGCTAGAAGTCCTTGGGATAGACGGCACAAATAGACTTAGGTTATTGTTTCACTTTATGCTTTGCCTTATTTTCCTTATTGCTGTTCTAGGTAATAATGTCTGTAATGGGGGGTAGTAGCCACTTAATTCATTGCTTTGCAGGTACAAATTAGGTCCCCCTCCTTGTGTACGCTCACATTTATATCAATAATACTAGAAAGCAATTTCCTTTCTTAGCATTTTTTCTCACAAACACTGATTACAGACTTGACATGTAAATAAAACTTACTTCTGCAGCCAAGAGAGTGTCGGGGTTGAAATCAAATCTTGGGGTTGCCGCGGCAAGTTTCATAGATAATAACTGAAGTGAAAGAAACATTTCCAATCAACAGAAGGTCAAAGGCAAAAAGCACATCGGAGTACAAAATTGCCGGCTTCTTGTGTAGCTCATCTTTTATAAAAAATAATAATAAATCGAGTCTTATTAATATTGTTCCTTGATCAAATCTTTGATCTTAAAGGATAAAATCAACTTTCATTACATGGCAACATCTTTAGATTCAATAACAATTCAAATCATCTTGTCTTTAAAATTCATCAAGTCTTGAATCATCATTTATGGGATATACTAACAGATTTGAGTTTAGCATTCATTCATAAGTGGCAAGGATGTGCCAAAGCTAACCTCCACTTGAGATTGAAGGGTTTGCACGTGATTTATTATCTCATCTAGCACCATTGCAGTACCTGAAATCTGTAGAACCAAATGACAATAGTGACACTGTTATTTTACTGGAAAAAAATATTCGCCTTAAGTTATCAAATAAAAACCAGATTTCTATACCTAACAATTAATAGAGAGTCCTAAGAAAGAAAAGAGAGTAGCAGGAAAAAGAAATCCAGTTTCCTAGATTAATACAATTAATGACATTACTAGTAGCACATTCCATATGTTCTATCATTTCATCCATGACAATTTTCAAATAAAACCTCTTCTTCCCATTTCCGGTTTTTTTTTTGGTAATCAATTTTTCATTGTTAAAATCGCATGGCAAACATGTGGCATATACGAAGCAGTGGTAGCTGCCATGCTCTGCACCTATAAGATGAAAATATCGGAAAAAACAAACATTGGTTGCAGTTGTAGCAAGCTTTAAGTAGAAGACATTACATCGATAAAAGATGTACAGTAATTTCGAAATATGATCCATATGAAATATTTTTGTTATTGCTTTGACTCATATTCTGTTAAAGTTCTGGTGTTCACTAATCAGCCAAAATATCAGCTGCGGGCTTGAATTGATTCAAAATGAGGAAAGAACAAGTGCAAAATAAAATCTTTAGAAATGATAGGTAATTATAAAAAGGAGATTTAACATTATTAGAACAGGTAACACAAATCAGCACATATTTAAAACCAAATATCACTAATAATGCTTGCATTACTACTGTTGGTCCGACATTATGTCTTTCAGGTCAATGAAGATGTTGAAATTGGTGGGAAAGAATTCAAAAATCTTACAACAACTATTTTTTTAACTCAATAGATAGTGGTTTTTTCGACGAAGCGCAAGAAACTATAAGGTAGAAAAAATTCTGTTAACTATACCTTTCTTAAACAAAGTACACTGGACTTTGGACCCCATATATGTAACTAGATCCCACCATACAGTGCTCTATGCATTTAATTGACAAATAAACCAAAAAACTAACATATTGGTGCAAACAAAACCTGCTAACAATTTCATTACTATAACTGTTTATTTTAAAAGGGTGGGATACCATGGTTCTTTTCAGCAATTGTTGTCTCTTTTCCCTTGTAACACACAGAACAAGAACTAACGAACAATAACCTCAATCTTTATTTATAAAACATAGACATCTGGTCCCATCTCTATTAGGTTGCCTCACTAATTCCTGTGAACTTTCATGTCAAACTCATAAACAGTTGGTCGATACTGTTCGTTCCCTTTGAAATCACTCCAATTCCTAAAGCAAAAAAATTATCTGCACTTGGCATTCAGTGTCTTGAATTGTCAAGTCAACTTCTAAATATACACTTCTGATCAAAGACGAAGAAGAAAAACAGCAACACGATATGAAATACAAGTAAAAACAGGAGTAGGACCCAATTAGCATTCGACTTGCCTACTACATGTGGGTCCAAAAGGCTTCAATCCATATCAATTTAATCTTTCTTCTTCTTTGATTAATTATAGACCATACAATCTAGATATCCCTAACAACTGTATTTTAGTGCCTAGTCTTGAACACGACTGTCATTTAACTTTCTAGATTAATAGATATCTAATTCTTTTAACTACGCTATTTAATTATGGTCCGATTCTGTTCGATTCCATTCAGTTCCCAATTTCCGTACAATAATTAAATTTTTTAATATTTACAACAACGCTACATTAATTCAACTAATGACATGTTCAATTTTAACTCTTACAAAATAACGTAGTCCAATCGCGTGATATCTTTTAAGCCTCTCTTTGTTGAGTTCTTCATATATTTAGGTGTTAAAATCACGGGAAGTAGAAAATAGCGAGCTCACAATAATGAAGAAAGGCGTAGCCAAGCTTCCAATTCGATTTCTCACTACAGTAAAATAAGAGATTTTGATAAAATTTAGATCAATTTGATTAAGTTGGGCTTGGGCTTTAAATTAAAAATAGGAAAATCATATTTTGGGTTTGGGATAAATTAATTAGTTAGCAAATTTATTTAGAAAAAAATAAAATAATTTGAATTATTTAAGATTAAAAAAAAATTAGGGAGATTCGGTTCTTAGTTCTAGGTTCTTGGTCTAGAATCAAGAACCGGACCAAACCCATAGGTTCTCGATTTAGATACTCGTTCGGGTATTTAACTTAAGAAAAACCTTAACCGCTCAATTTGGTTTGGTCGGTTTGGTTCGGGAGTTTTGTTCAGCGCTACTATTTGCCACCCATTTATTAAATTTATGCACGGAATCAGCATTTTCTTTTAAGAAATTAAATTGGAGTGCACGTGAGAAGGAGCGTTTTGAAGAATAAACTTAAATAAAAAAAATGTGTATCTTCTTTAACTTGTTAAACTTTTAGATCATAAGGTTCAAGACGATTTTCAAACTCATGTGAAGACCTTAAGCAGTAAAAAGCAAGCTAATCACAGAACTAAAACAAAACAAAACCAATGCTTATTGATCCCAATTTTTTGGTGGCTGAAAGAATCATGGTCCAAGCAAAGGATACGATACTGTTTACCATGACAAAAATGTCCTGGTAAATGACAGGTAAGGAACAAAAGAAAAGGGCAAAAAGCTTAAAACAAAAGAAGTAAGAATAACGAGAAAAACACTTCAATGATGAGTACCCACTTTTCTTGGTGCAAAAGCTATCATCTCTTTCTTTCTTTCTTTTTCCAGTTTCCCCCATTAAGATGGTGACAACAACGTGAAACTTATCTTAAGCACATGTTTAATTTAGCAAAAATTCAGGATTTTAATAAATTTTAATAAAAGTAGATGAAATGTGTGGTTGAAAATTGAAATGTTGATAAAAGTCGTGAATCTCATTATGAATGGTTAATATTAATTGCTGACTCTAACTTAGATTTTTATCAAACTTTGTTTGCTAAGGGCGTATTCGGTAGAAATTAAAATCGGATTAAAATTGAAAAACTAATCGTTATTGTTGATTTTTATTAGACGAGGGGACCCAATAACGACTATATTTTCAATTTTAATTGAATTTTAATCTTTATCAAACGGGTGCTAAACCAATCAGGGGCTAACAAATTACAAACAAAAAGACTAATCTATGATTAACAGGTGTAACTAAAGACAGAAAAGGCATTTCTCCTTCTTGATCCAAAGAGACGGGGTTTTAATCCCGCTTAAAAGCATTTTTTTTTTATATTTATTTAGACCCTATAGTCAGTCCATATTCCAAAGAAAAAAAAAACATAAGATGCTAAAAATCTAATCACCCTCATTAACAAAACACAATTTCATTGTCACGCATGATCACCTTCCAATAATTGCAAGGGACAGAGTTTCCTTCCAATAAAATAAAAGAAAAAGACAGGTTACCTTTTTACATCCTGGGACCATGTCTTGCAGTAGCCTCATTCGGGCATTGATCTTCTCTCTCCTAGCCTATATATTATAAAATATAAACATAACCATGAATTAATTATTAAAGCTAATAACATTTTACTATTAATAACCAAATTAAACAAAATGATTAGCTGTTAATTATAAGCTTAAGATAATTTACTCTTTCAGCTAAGCTATGGCTATCCGTGGCTTGGCCACGGCGAGCTCTGACATAAACGTATGGCAGCTTCTCTCCGCCTTCTTCATAGGATTCATTTTGTACCACTTTTTTGCTCTTCTTATTCGATTCTTTAACCTGAAAATATATTCATGAATAGGTTACAGAATTATCAGATTTCATGACATGGGTTTCAAGAATTATGGGGAGCGGTTACGAAATTACCTTTTTCTCCCGTTCCTTCCTCTTACTGGACTTCAAAATCTGGTCAGAAATCGCCGGCGAAGAACCATTCGGGTTCGAATCCGAGTCCATTTGTTCTTGCTTGACAATATCGAGCTTCTTTGAGCTCGAAACGGACAGCAATGAGTAATTTTCAGACGAATTATCAGCCAAAGGTAAGGAAGAAAACTTTGAAGCATGGTCAATTAGGGCAATATTGGAAGGAAAAATTTGCGGCGGGGGAAAATGAGCTATGTCGGGTTTCGCCGGAAATTCGTCGGCGACTTCCAAAGAGTTCACCAAGAGCTCAACTGCTTGTGGCGCCGGAAGTTCGAGAAGCGCAGTGAAGGAGCTGCTGGTCTCCGGCGGCGGTGGTGGTGCGGAGATTAGTCCGTGGATATCGTCGAACCCGATATCACCGGGTTTAAGCCCGCAAATTCCGGATCTATATTCCAGTTCAGTTGCTTCAACTTTTGGTTCCATTTTGAAAATTCCAAAAAAAAAAATTCACTTAATAGCGAAATAATCAAGTTCAAATTCACCAAAATTGAGTAGATTCAGGTCCTATAATTTTTATACAGTTCGATTTTCCAGAATTCAAACCCTGGTGCCTAAAACTTCACACAAAACCCAATTGAATTCAACCAATATTGAGCACGTAGTGAATGGAATAAAATCCAAGCAATTCCAGCCTCCCACTAGGAAATTTTTAAAATTCGAAGACAATCTCGATGAAATTTAAAGAAATCAAGAAAAAACGAACCCCATTTTAAAGCGAGAAAAACGACCAAGGAATTTAAAAATGATAATTTGGGGGCAGTTTTTACTCAATCAAACAAACAAATATTTCAAAAAAAAAAGTCCCCAGGTCAAAAGAGGAGGAAACTAGGTTATTATGAAAAAGTATTGCTAGAAAAGTTCCCCAAATAGCAGAGAAGAAGATATGCAGGGAGAAGTTTTCCTTTTTCCCTTTTCCTGAAATGGAGCTGTGGGCTTTGTGAAAATTAGCTTCAATTCCAATGCAGTCAAAATATATTTCCCTCTCTCTATCTCTGCTTGGAGTTGTGGTGGTGGTATGAAACCAACAGCGTCTGGTTCGGTCCCTGTCCTGCTCCTGCCCTGCCTCTTCTTCCTCTCTTCTGTTGTTGTCTTCCTAGTTAATGCTATTTATTAACCCTATTTCTCAGGTTACAGACTTACAGTAACTCTACACTACGTAATCACGTTTGAGCTCAATGAGATGCAATGCATTTTGGTTACAAATTTGAACTGTCTACTACAATCTAACATTCACTCACAAAATCAAAACAAACCGGTCGTTTGGTACACATTCTTTAAAATTCATACTTTTAATTTTCTCAATCGCACATTTTTTCAATAAAATAAATTAAAATTCTCCGTACAATCTAATGTCAACATAGCACTATGACTGCTGAAGTCGTGATGTTTATGTTATAAATTTTATATGATAAAGAAATGGATATCGACTTACTCTAAACTGAAGTGACCGCAACTATACCACTCTGCTAAAATTACACTATCGTCATCATCCGGTGCTTCCACACTAGGTTTCATAAAGTTTAATTGAAAAAATAATTGAATAAACATTATGTGCTATCTAAATTAATATTTAACTTTAATCAAATAAAAAATAACTTATCGATGATTTTTAATGTTAGACGAACAGGTGCTAAAACTCGAAGTTTTAATAATCTTGAATCTCGATTTTTAGTAAGCACAAGTGTAGTTAAAGTGGTTGAAACAAATCGAATATTGCTTTGCGTGAGTAAAAATAAATTAAATCTTTTACAAGATACATCTTAGTTTTATTTTTTCCTTTGTGGTTAAAAAAGCACCTCTTTTTCATAATCCAAGACAGTTTATGACTTTATGTGTTTGAATAAATAATTTTTATTTATTTTCCTCTCACAAAAAAAATAAATAAACAATAACTAGCTAGCAAAGTAAATGCAATCTGCCCAATTTTGGTATAATTGGGCCAATAAAAGAGAAACAACACCCATTTTATTTGGGCCTTGTCTCCAGCTCTCCATGTATCAAGGGGAAATTACATAAAATCAACGGTTTAGTTTGACGTTTTTAAAAATCAGATCTACTTTTTTAAAAATCGGGTTTTAAGTTTATTTTTGCAAAAATTAGGTAGTATATTAAAACCCTAATTTTTAACCTAATTTATCAATTCCGTCTCCACCATTCCCATCACCTCCCCTCCTCCCTCCCGTCTCCACCTGCCCCTCCAAACTCGAGTTGTCCTCTGCACCTTCTGTATATCCAACACAAAGCCCAGGAGGTTCTTGATAGCAGCATCTAAATTATTGCCAGATTCTTCCAAAACTCTATCAAGAAGCTCACTATCCATATCAGGAAACAAATTCTTGAGTTGATCAATAAGACTCATCGGCGACGAGTAGGAGAACCGAACGGGGGAGGTGGCCGATGAGCAGCAACGTTTCTTGGAAACCGGCAGTGACCCCGACACTGACAATTACGTTGTTAGTATCTCTTCGAAGAAAGATCTCTTCCCGCACACTATTGCAGACATTATTCAAATCTGATACAAATGAATAAATTAACGAATCCTTCTTTCCAATTCTCTTCTTTTCCCGACTGAATTGAATCAAATGAATAAATAAGGAATTAGGATTAAGGTTTGGACGGCCTTTGAAGGTGATGGATAGTGGTGTGGCGGTGCTTGGTGTTATAGTTGGTGGTGACGGCGATTTTGTTGTTGGTTGTGCGTGATGGCTGTGGCTGTGGGGGTGGGGGTGGTCGTGGCGGCGGTTGTATCATGGGTGGGATGAGATGGGTTGGGTTAGGGGTGAGTGTCTGCGACCTAGAAATTGTAACTGTGACTCATTGTAATAGAGTTTCGACCAGTAAAAGTTTTGATTTTTTTCAATCTGTAACCTATAAAAAAATTTAATTCGTGATTGAGAAATAACATGTGACCATAAAATTCTTGATTTCTAACCAACGACGTCAATTGTGACCTATAAATATTTTGATTTGTGATCTTGAAATAATATGTGACCAATTAATTTGATAAGCTGTGACCTGAAATTAGTTTTTAACCAATTAATAAGATATATGTGACCAAATTGCACAATTAAATATTTAATTAATTAATAAAAAGTAAAAACATGATTTTTGCAATTTTAAAACTTTAGCACCCGCTTTTGCAAATGTCAAAGTTAATACATGATCCATGAATTTTTTCCATGTATTAATATAGGAAAATTAGGTTGGACATTTGCATCTCTAATAATTCTTTTTCTACTATGAATATTCTTCTATTTTTTAATTTTTTTAAATTTTGAGATTTAATAAATATTATTTTTTTCATTTTAAAACAACAATGGTGAATACATTGTCTTGGAAAAAAATATTTGATAACATGACATTGTATAAAAGTAAAAATAAATTTTACAATACTCAAACACTAAGGGTCCATTTGATTGCAAATGTGGAAAATGGATGGAAAGAAAATGTTTTACAGAGAATTGAATTGCCTTAAAAAATTTTACTGTGAATTGTAATTAATTGTGTTTGATTGACATAATTTTCCACCTGGAAAATATTGAAAGTTTGATGTCCATTTGGCTTCGTTTTTTATGAAAATTGTCCATTAAAGTGATAATTTTTTCTACAATTGGATCTAGAATTTGTTCCAATTGCAAAAATAAAAATAAAATAAAAAATTACCATACCAATAACAAGAAGAAGAAGAGTAATAATAATAACAACAACGTTATGATAATCAATGTCTCTAGTAATTGTATATAAGCATAACAATAAATCATTTTTTATTTGCTAGACACTAAAATGTTGATTTTGAAACATTAATTTACCAAACACTTAGATGGTGTTTAGTGGTGATTAAAATTAGATTTTTAGTAAATTGTGATAAAAGTTTTTAAAATGTGTGGTTGAAAAGTTGTGAGATCTATGAAAGATGTGTTTAATATTAATTGTTTGACTTTAACTTAGATTAAAATTTAATTTTAATCCGGTGCCGATTATCTTACAAGCACAACAATACAAACCAAGCGTTAAACATAACAAATAAGACGGACACATTGGACTACTAAATCATTATTGTATTTCGTACTATTTAATCCCAAAAACCAAACATATTCTATGGCATGCAGGTAAGGTGAAATGAACTTGTCTAACTCATACTACTCAAGGAAGAAAGAATAATCACGACAAGGTCCAGTAACAAAGTCGATGTCTGGCTCATGTTTATAAACATTAAGGTTATTTTTTATTCATACATTTTGAGGGACGTATTAGTATTACTCACTTGTCCACATTTCATTTCTAAATTTATTTAATTTAACGACAGAATAATTTATTTTTTTGTCTTTAACATTGCATAATCTTGCTCGATCTAGCTAACCAAAGAGGTTGTTAGCTCATTGTGCAATGACTCGAAGGGACTGAGATTTGGTTGTGAGATTTGACGATACTTGATAGTATTAAAGAAAAAATAAATAAAAAAATTGTTCTTTATATTTTTCAGTTGCATATGCATCTTTCTATAATAGTTGTCTACTGTAAATAGGAAAATAAATAGGCCATAACCACAAAAGGCGACTAATTGAAAACCCATCAGAAAAAACATAGAGCATTAAATTATGGCCAAACCCTTTCAAATTTGCAAATTGTTTCGACTTTCGAGTCAAAGGTTTGAAATTAGTTTGGACCATAAAGGGGAAAAAGGATTTATTCAGTAAAGGGGAAAATGAAAAAAGATAGAATTTAGTTACTTATGGTAAAGATATTGGAATACATACACCACTGTCTTCAAAGAAATGGTAATACTCCCATAGACCCATAAATTCATCAAATATTGTAAGTTAATTCACTAAATTGAAGATTTCTAAATTTAATCAAAACTTCTTTTATGAAAATACACCAACAATTTTAAACGTATTGTTGTCGCTTGACCCAAATTCTAGTGGATATTGGAGGTTTGGTTGAAGTAGTCTTGAAGAGATAAAATTATGGACCGAAAAGAGAAGTCGTCACAATTTCGCTCACTCGATGCTTGCCGACGCTCAAGCGGCGTCATCAAATTTTCACCCCAGATTTGGTGCCTTCCTAGTGCTCGAGCAGTGGAGCTGCAGCTCGCCTAGCGCGCTACCTAGTGCTAGAGCGGCGTGTTTATCCCACCCAAACCGTTTCGCGTTTTAACGCGATTTCTGAACTTCCATTCATCAACAACTCGAATTTTAAGGCTTAAATATATTCTCCACAACTTGTATTGAGATCATAACATTCACACAACATCTTGAGAGATTTAAATCTTAATTGAAAGTATTGGGATATTGTTGTAAACACATTCATTATTGTTTATAATGAAATTCTCCTTCCTATCTTGGATTTTCACATAAATCTTTGTGTTCTTGTATTTTGTTTGTTTTTTTTCATTCTTTTCATTATCTTGTGATCAATTCATAACATGTACATATACTATACGCATATCATTGAGCGATAAGTGGGTTCATATATTATTGACATTTTCTTGATTCAATTTGGTGATCAAATTGTACAACAATTGATGGACTTTTGTATTGATTTCTCTTATTCCAAATAACTTCTGCTAATTTGTTGATCGAGTAATACTATTTAGCACCACTTGTGTTTAACATGGATTTGGGTGGTATCACTTGTATAATTAAATTACAAGTTCAATTAAATATAAGAAATTATAATTCATTTATTATGATCTATCACACACTTACACCTAAACTGGCCCTCTAACATTATTGGTACTAGATAACATTATTCTTTATTCTTTGTTGACCATTAGCATCGATTAAAATTCTATTATTAAGTATTTATAGTGTTTCCATTTGCCATAATTGTTATTCTTTATTGATTCTACTTGTTTATTAGTCCAACCACGGTGAAAAGACACATTGCTCCTTGAGTCTCATTGATTATATCGTTCTCCTTTGAAGTTCTCAAATCTCAATAAAGCCATTTTAGGTCGGACTTGATTCTGCAACGAGCTTCGTAATTATCCGTTATATTTCACTAAAAATATAATTAAAATTTTTAATTATCTCATACCTTTTTTTCGAGCTACAAATACCAAGTTTCTTTAATTTCATTTAAAATGGATGTTGGACCACAAAATCTTTTGCCTTTACTATGTGCATTAAAGGGGGAGATCATATGACAAGGATTGGTAAGCTCCCACTTGCTGGACGCCCAATGTCGAGCCTGTCACGTGAACAGGACCCTCTACCCAATGGACCCACTTCCACATTATTCTCTAACGTAGAAATTACACCATTCCCTACTTTTCAAGATCTATATTCTAATATCAGATTTTAAGTTTTAGTTTTCAATAATCAGATATTTTATATATAGATACATATTTTTTTATAATAATAATAAATATATTATAATTACATAATATAATTATCCAACAATACACACCAAAACCCTAATTATTTCATTTTTCCATTTACTCTCCTCTCTCTATAATCGTATCTCTCTTCTCTCTCCACTCTCCTCACTTCTCTCTCGATCCCACTCTCTCTCTTCTCTGACCCACCGTCACAGCCAGAAGAGAATACATTGGAGATCTCGTGGCGATCTGCGAAGCACCGTGACGATCTTCGTGAATCCAGTATCAACCTCTCTTGCTGCCGTGGATCCCGTGATCCACGATCTCATCAAGAAGGAGAAAAGCTGCCAGTGTCGCGGCATCGATCTTATTGCATCCGAGATAGAGAAGATGGTGGTGGTCGTGTTGGGGGTGGTGCGGTGCAATGCGCGGCGGTATGTGGTGTTGGTGGATATGTGCAGTGTGGGCGTGGCGGTGGTGGTATGTAGTGGTGGTGAATTTGTACGGTGTGGGGTTGGTGGTGGTGTGCGGTGTGGTCGTGGCGATGGATCTGTGCTGAGGTAGTGGTTGGGTATGGTGTAAATGGAGATAGAGAAGATGGTGATGGTGGTGGTGGTGGTGGTGGATCTGTGCGATGTGCTGGTGGGTGTCGGGCGTGCATGCGATATGGGGTTGGAGGTGACTGTTATTATTTTGTGCGTGTAATCGAGTGTGAACAATTAAAATTGTGACTGTGACTCATTGTGATCGAGTTGTGACCAACAAAAGTTTTGACATATTGTTAAACTGTAACCTTAAAATTCAATAATTTGTGACTAAAAAATAATTTGTGACTTGTGACCGAAAAATATTACACGACCTATTATTTTAACAAGTTGTGATCTATAAAATATGTTATTTGTGACCAAAAATAATATGTGATCAATTAATTTGAGAATGTCACCAATAAAATAAATGGGTTGTGACCAATAAAATTTTGAATTTGTCATCAATGCATAATATGTGACCTAAAAATTGTTATTGTGACTCATAATTTATTAAATTGTAATCGAGTTGTGACCAATGAATATATATATGTGACCTAAAAATTGTTACTGTGACTCGGAATAGTCGTCGAAATCGGAGCAGTTGTCGGAACGGTCACCAGAGCGGTGGGCGTGGTAGAGGTGGGTGGGTTAATTATCAAATATCTGATTTTAGAAATTTGAACGTTATTTTCTTATTTTTGAAATAGTATATAGTAAAAATCATAGAAATGAAATTTTCCCTTCTCTAATTAAGAGCTTGTTTGGAAAGAATTAAAACTCAATTAAAATTGAAAATGTAGTCGTTATTGGGTCCCGCTCGTCTAATAAAAGTCAATTTCAACGGTTATATTTTCAATTTTAACTTGATTTTAATCTTTCTCAAACAAGCTCTAAGACTTGTGGATCAAGATTGCTTTGCTACAAAAAAATAAAAATAAAAATAATTCATAATTGAAATTTGTAGATAAAAAAGTGTCTTCTACACTTTTACAATTAACTCATAATTGTCATTTTGAAAGCGTGGCTCAAACTCGGCATTTGAGCTCGTAAGTAAAAATTTTATGATCGAACTAACACATGCTCATCTCGAAATATAGCCCTGATTTATCCTCATTAATTTATAATACATTTTTCTCTCTCTTTTTTTTTAGCACACATTCTCCTATAAAATAATATTACATATAAATTAAAAAAAATTCTTATTTTTTAATCACACATTCTCCAAAAAAAATATTATTTCAAAAATTATAACACCAAATAATAGGGCCGAATGGGGGCTAAATGAATAACGAAGTATATATATCTTTAAATACTTTCAGAAGGCTCAACAGAGGTCAGAGGTCTAAGGCCACAGGCCCACATAGGAAACCGGCAGACAACTATTGTCCGGTCCTCAGAAAAGACCCAACATGGAATGCATACATCAGCGGGAGAAAAATTACAATCATTGGGCCCATGATAAGTGACTATGTTGTTAGGGCCCATTTCAATTGAGGAGGGACTCCTCCTCCTTCTTCTTCTTTTTTCCCCCCCTTAAATATTTGACCCTACAGATGAGTAGTCTGAAGGAAAGTTTGACGAATCAAGCAATATCGTCTCCGTCACATCTTATTGATTAAAGCCTTGCTAAAGTAGATCGGAAATAAAAAAAATTAGATATGAGCCATAGGACAAGAACTCTCGGTTGCTCGTAGAAATAAAATAATTTTCGCTTGTGAAACTTTAAGATAAGAGATTAAGCAACTAATCCACAAGTATCCTTGCTTTGTTGCCAGCTTTCATAGTATATAATTAAGGCCACTTTTCGCTTTCCAAATCCTACTCAGTCCTTTTGGGATATTTGAAATTTTGGTATACCAAAGTGCAATTTTGAGATGAGATTCTGATATATTTAAAAAAGAATTGATTTCATGAACGTTTGATTCAAAAAATGCGTTTCGCTCTTTACTCACGAAAGAGCTTCCTTGCTATGTATGGAAGAGGGTCCGTATACTGAATTACGATTAAGAAAAAAATGTAGGGTCCTTGGGATTCATTGTGTAAGAAATTAGGCTACTATTATGAACCAATCTTCTATATATTAAAAGTCACTATGTAACGGAATTTCTTGTTTTTAACGGAAAAACTAAAGGAATTTGTTGTTTTAACGGATTATGTAACGGAATTTCTTGTTTTAAACAGGCAGCTGCACCTTCTTTCAGTGTTTTTATCATAACTTTGTATTCCGATATCCGATTGAGGCGATTCAAAATGCGTTGGAAAGCTAACTCATCTGGCTACAACTTTGATTCAGACATCATTCTCCAATTCGATCACTTTCTATGCCAAAAATAGGTCTCAATATGAGACTAAAACATCGGAGCATAACTTTTCGGTTGGAAATTGATTTGTGATCATCTTTTGACTAAATTTGATTCCATTGACGTCTTCCTTTATCCAATTGACTCCGAGCACTCTCAAATCTTCATCGTGAGGTTCGGCACAACTTTTAAGTATTTACATTTTAGTCCCCGAACTTTGGATCCCTTACAATTTAGCCATTTCTCCAAATTTGTCAACTTTTGCTTATTTTCTTCGATCTCACCAACTTACATCACAACATCAAAATCACACATCTAATTATTTATCAATTACATAAACATTACATCATTAATTATTTAATTAACCAAAAAAATTACATCTTTATTAATAACAAATTAATTCTTAAACAAAACTATTAAATATAAACTAGGCAAACGTACATTGCACGTTACTTGCACATAATTACTAAAAATGTCCAACACACACTTTGAAAATTCAATGAGGCGACAACAAATAGGGTCCATAGAGCCAAAATATTCCAAATGGGCTCATGTCCCTTTTGTCAATTATTACAAATTGATAGAGGCCACTTACAATCTTGCTTAACAATGTAAGTTAACTGCCACCAGACATGTTGTGATACAATGAAGGTCCACCATGATACCTTCATATTTCCGAAGGTGGACTCGATGAAATTTAAAAAAGAAATCCATGGTCGCGTGTGAGTTACATGTTGTCAGTTAAGATTACTTGTAAAATTCTCGATTATGAACATGGCATACCATCGTTTTCAAAATTTTCATTACCAATCATCTATAGTGAAACAAGTAATAGATGTAGAAAACCAGAGAAAGAAGCCTAAATACTAAGCATTGAATCCAAACATAGTTAATAAAAACAAAAGTTCACACAATTTTAGATATCATAAATTTGGATAAGCAATAAAATCATATTCAATCAGGGTAAAACCCAGCTAGTAGCACAAACAAACTCCAAATCTGAGCAAGTTCCTTCATCTTGCAATGAAATTTAACAGAAATGAGACATCGTAACAATTTTTTGATGAAAAATTTCTAAGAGACAGCTTAGAGAAATGTTTCAATTATCAACAATGAAGTGTTTTTTCTAAGGTTTTCGACCGACAGCCAAATAGAAGATGAAAGACCGAGAGATGAAACATAATTGTAGAGAGTTTTTGGTTGAACAAAAGTAGAGAGGAATATAGTACATAGTGGGCTCTCTGAGAGGCTTTAATTTGGGCTAAAAATTTGGGCTTGAGGTGGCAGCCTCTTGCGCCTCACCTCAGGTCCGGCTCTGCCGATGGAGCCATTAAGTGTAGGAGCAACACAAAACCACAATGATAAGGCGCAATTCATCCGTTCAAATTAGATAAAAGACTTGGATTTCAAACTTGATTCAACTGAAAAGGCTTTTTTTTCTTAAAAAGGTTGTTCTACACAAACATCTTAGTTTATATACACATGATGTGATGATATATGATTGAATCGGAATTTCTTTCAC